TTCGGTGAGGCCAACTTATAAATTCTTTCCATTCGCATCTTTAAACAAAATAAAAGGTACTTCAATATAAATAACTAGCAGATTAGGGAGGATTTGGCTTAAATTTGCCTAGCAAGCATCGCTTCGGTTGAATATTCATTATTATTCTTAGTGAAACATTACATTGTTGAACAATAATTTTAAACATATGTGGAGTAATTATATATCCATTGATAAACATGTTAAAAATGGGCACCTTTGTGCATAAATTTAAGAATTTATTTTATTTTATAGAGGTTGTTTGACCTTGTTTTCGCAACATGGTCATATTGGTAGAAAGACGCACCTAGTCTGGAATCCATTGTCTGCATGATTATTTCCAAAGTTGAACCGTGGACGTTCTTTTGTTAAAAAAACTAACATGTAAAAGATACACAACGCAACTTTCGCATAACTTGCGATTTTACAAAGAAGCAGAGAACATCAGTCGTTGGCTGAGATAATGCGCTTTGTCAACGACTTAGTGTCAAGCTATTCCGAATGAGCCACTTTAGTTAAGCATGATATTAGTTTTCTATCCTTTTATTAGACATACTGACCCTTTGTGTGGATTGTTCTCCTAGCGAACCTCTGCTTTTACCGCTGATCTATTGCAGCCACTGCATTCAATACTCTTATTCAATCAGTTATATTCGAATCATTTGGAATTTAATGATACCACAACATCAAGGTAGATTATTTGCATGCTAAAGATGCTACTCGACTGCAAGAAAACATGTCTTAGAATGCTTCTGTGTGCTGAAAGATTAATATATGATGACCACCTGTATTGGAGATTTATAAACCGAGTATTCGTTCCTAAAGACTATGTTCAATGCCTGATTCTTTTGGGGCTAGATTAGTCTACTTAGAATACGTATATGTTAGTTGAATGGTTACAGCATTCACTTAGTGCCATTATTCTCATGCTGTATTGAATGGGAAATAGCCAGAACTTGCGAAACAATAATTCAATTTGTAGCACAGTATTATGTCGCCAAGTTATGCAACAAATCAGCCCAACTTGATTTTGAAGTTAAATCCCATCAGTTCGTAGATATGAAGACCAAGATGGTGTAGCCTTCTGTTTGGTCGCAGTCTCCTTAGCTTTATAGTTTTGGTTCGATCTTGTTTTCGCAACTTGGTCGGAGCGTCAGGGAAACCTTGTGGAACGTATCATAGTATTCGTGATTTCTAGCATTGGACCATAGGCTGGGTACATTTCCAAAAATTTCGAAGGCATCGTCCATGAAAGGCGCCATCGTAACAACATAATGACAACTTATCAAAGTGGCAACAGAATACAGTCCCCTTGATCAATTTTCTGTTCAACTGCTGTGGCATCACACCTCGCCCCCATTTTGTGTTTTCTATCAGACCCATTTTCAGTACATCTCACCGTATACTCCAGTTTCTTCCATTTATTTGATAACTTGACGCTCGACCCTGTTATATTATATAGTAATGCGCATCTGTCTTGCGGTAGAGAATGTTTCAGGAATAAGATTCACTCACCTTAATTTTCAACTGTAAAATAAGCAAAAGATTTTTGAGGCTTGACACTTTAAAATGAGGCAAAAGCACTTAATAACGTTTTATCTAGATTCGCGATCATGCAATTAAATAGTTGATCGGTTGCCTTTGATTTTTATAAATATCTCATTATCTTCATTCTATATATTTCAGATAATGGATTTATCTCGATTTTTTATATCATGGAGCCGAGAGGACGAAGCAAGTACTAAATGATATATTGTTTTCTGGGTGCTTTTAACTCTAAATATAATCTGCTTTTGCACTTTTATATTTTTCTGCATCTCTTACATAAACATTCGGAAAACTCTCATGCCATAAGGATTTTTGTGTGAATGCATAGCTGCACAGATAAAGTGAAATTCTCAGCCTCATGCTGGAGAACCCTTCATTTCGTTTGAAAAGGCGAATGGAAGGGATTCGTAAGTCGGTTATACCGGAGGCTGTGGATGGGCTGTTATAGAGCTGTGGTTTTAGATTTGTGCGAATAGGTCATCGGCGCACCGGCCTACAACCCCGACGAATCTTTGCTGAGTTTTCGTCTGTCATATGACGGACATCTTCAGAGCAGGACACCATGTTTAACGATAATTCACCAAAAACACGAACACAAAAAAGATGGCTTGCTTCAAGCCTACTTCTTTATATTCCAATTTGGCCCACTCACGCATCTCATATTCGGGTTGGATGTCCTATGCTTTGCATCTATATTTGCTCATAAGTTAAGTGGCTGCGGATGATATGTGGAGTGGCTACAGATGAAGCGTGAAATGGGTGCAATTGAAACCAGCTGCATCATCCCCTAAAACACGTATGCCTTTGCTCCTGCAATATTACTGCATGTGATTGCGTCCCATTTCACACGTATTGTTTGAGTGCATTGTAATATAAAAAGGAAGTAGGTTTGGAGCCGGCCACCTTTCTCGCTTTCGTGTTTTTAGTGAATTATCGTTAACCATGGTGTCCCGTTCTGACGATGGACGAAAGCCTAGCAGGGATTCATCGAGGTCGCAGGGCGGTGAGCCAAGGACCTATTTGCATAAATCTACAATTACAGCTCCAAGGCAACCCCCTCAGCTTCAGATGGTGCCAACTTACGAATCCTTTCCACTCGCCTCTTCAAACGAAATGAAAGGCACTCCAAGGGATTCTTCGAAACCCAGTTTTTCTACAAATTCTCAGCCTGGTTGCGCGCCGCACGTATGATTTATTAAGCAATTAGCTTAGCTATGAGGGGTCATAGCATTGCCTACGGAAAATTTTAAAAGGGCAGACCTGCATCTTAATGCACTTGTTTACTCTGCAGGTGACATATCGTCACCATATGATTAACTTATCTCCGACCTATTTCGTCTATCAAGGTCACCCCCTTGATTTCAATGTTAATAGCGCCATCTAGCTTAATCGTCTTACACTTATGCGAAGTTTATTCAATAAAATATGTCCTGATGGCTCAGTAAGATCCGGATTTTGAACAAGCATCTTCTTTGCAAACTCGTTGGCTTAGAATGAGCACGCGTTAATACAATCCATGAAAATTTGGGCTGACTTTTAAGTTAAACCCAGGGAATGTACTAATGATAATAAACAAATGCAAGTAGTCTTAATCAAAAAGCTTTCGAGTAGAAAAAATTACTAAAAGACCGCGTGCGAATGTGTGGCTTCCTTGGAATTGCACCTTGCACACCCATTTGGTCTTGGTGCGGGGCCGATCTGCACTTTTCTGGTAGTTTGCCAATGCAGAATTAGTGTAGTTTTTATTTTAATGCGCACATGCGTCATAGTATCGCGGGCCAATTTTGATGAGCGAATTTCTACGGCCTTTATTTTTTCGATAACCAGTAATGAGGATCACTCGTGTACTTTATGCAATACTAAAAGATTCTAAGCCAGCGACACCTAAAGCGATGATGTATGGTGATACAGCAGTCGACAGGCGTCTCAGACTGCAATTTGAATATGGTAAATACAAATTGGTCTGACGCGCGAGACCTTTAACCAAGGTCTGAAAATTTCTATACGTATTCACAAAAAATAAGCGATCCGACGTCTGGGCTGTCTGGTTGACTGGATACTCCGAAAAAAGGAAATATATTTGTGTTTGTGATAGAGCATAATGATCTAAAGGTTCTTTCGCAGGTAGTCCGGTCAAATATGGCACGCTGGCGCCTTTGCGGATCCTTATTAATGCCACAGTGTTTCCGCTTTGCTACCTGATATGCGTAGGACAGGCCGGTTCAGGAATGTTCATAAGTCCAGGGCAGCAGACGGAGAGTACACCACAGGTAAATGCATAATAATAAGTACCTCTGAATTAAGATAAACAAGTTCCAACTAGTCCTAGACGGCAGTCGCTTCAGCATTAAGCTAGTAAGCGTATCATATTTGGCAGCACAAGATTAATGTGCTAGATGAGGTTTTAAACTAGATATATGCAGTTCCACTACTCTTATAAAATATGTACGTTGCGATTCAGAGTAATTCAGATTACGCTAACTCAGTGAGATCTTAGGGATGCGATCAGGTCTAGGCTCACATTTAATACTAGTACAAACGAACGTTTGTGGGAGCATCCTAACAATTCTTCTCAGCTAGTTCCTAGTGTATGAAGGTTAATTATAATATTTAATAGAAGACCATACGAGAGAACTAGTCCGCGTCCGAGAGCAAGCTGCTGTCTTCGAAACTCTTTCCGTTTAGAGAACGGACGCTATTAATGGTTTGGGCGATATTTACCTGCCTTTATGGCGCATACCGCGAAATAGAATAGCTTTACAAATCAACCAGGCTTACGACAGCTGCACAAGCGGCAATATCCTTAAGCGAATGTGACAAGTCGAATGCCACTTTAAAAAGCTAGTCAATAAATATGCCCAAAGCCCGACTGTCATTTCAGGGGTGTTGATTAAAGCGACACTATTAGTCTGCAGGGATCTGACTATGAAGTTGAGGCCTTGCGGCTGGGCCAGTAAAGCTGAAGCTAGAACCGAACAGCGGTGAGTACAGGAGAAAATATAAAGGAAATAACTATCATACACCATTCTTAGGTCAGTTTTGGATCGAATGATAACATTTTGAACTTTCAAACGTTACAAATATGACTTGCTATAATTATACGAAGTATAAGTAGAACCATTGCTACAATTTAATATCACTACTATTTTCTAGTCTAAGAGCCCACGTTGAAGATGCTCAAGTCTTTAGAAGACTAAAAGAGCGAAGGTTCGTCTATACGTGCCTATTTCATCAACTATTCCTAAATGGAGGGTCATAGTAATGCGAACAGGATAAATAGTTATACCGAGTCGAGCTAATCACCGAAAAGATTGGGTGTGGGAAATGAACAAAACCAGCTTACTTCAAAATTCAGCGATATTCATATTGTTTTAACCAAAAATAAGGTGGCATATTCGAAATAAGAATATTTACAGGGCAATACAGGACAGAATTCATTCTTTCTTGAATTTTGCGCAATCCATACCACTTAGTTTAGCCAACTGTTTGCCGACTAGACCAACCGTGATGCACCCAGAAAAGAAGAGGCAAGGAAGCCAGGCGAGCATAACCGGATGAGATAGCCTGTAAAAGATTATTATAAGATAATACTGACCTTAGGATACCTTTCCACGCGAAGGACTGATAAATGACGGTTGCTATGCCCGAAGTTATTAGTCCCAGGACTAGTCCTCCCACAGAACGATCAAAGCACCACCAAAGTCCAAATGAAAGAGCCAATAAAGTAAAGAATAATTGCATATATGAGGCGAAGTCTATCCGAAGAGTAGCGTGGTTTATGCCCAGAAATAGAGCTATGCATCGTATAACAGATGACCACTCATGATCTTGAGCGCCAAAAATTCCAAAGAACGCATCAATATGAGGGGACAAGAATCCTATAAGGACTGAGAGAATTAGATGGGAAAGGCCTACCTGAAGCGGACCCACAGAACAATGGAACCCATATGCAGGGGCTGACAAAGCCAAAAATAGTGTAATTATAATCGTAAGAAGTTCTTGTTACACCACGCATCACATCGGCTACTATGAAAAAGACAACGCCGATGATAAATAGCAAAAGTGCCCTCAAGATCATAGAGGGAAGAAAACGACAACTCGAATGCGAGGCACAGGGCGAGGGCATCGCACCACCTGCGACCTAGAATGATGAGTTATAAAAACAAAAGCAAAAACTTTTATGAATAAAGTTTATTATGTTTATAACTAAAAATAAAAATTAAAGTAATGGCATAGATTTTAAAAAATAAATAAAACTATTATAATTGTAAAGTTAATTATTTTTTATAGATAAACATAATATTATTTAAATACACTTATGTTAGGTAACTATTACACTAGCACACTTGGCAAGACCGGACTATTTGGTGATGTCGACCACCGATCCGTAACCTCGTGCTTTCCACCGCAATGACAATTACAATCCCTTTTTTGAGATGAATTACTCAGAAAATACTATAAAGCTGTCTTCTTTAAATGGGCATCTGATCTGTGGTCTTTGCGGCGGTTATCTAATAGATGCCACTGTCCTAACTCAATGCATACATGCGTTCTGTAGAAGCTGTATATTGAAGTATCTTTCTACCCAAAAACTGTGCCCTCTTTGCCAAAGCCTTATTCATGAAACTCGACCAGGCCATGCATTGAGGCTCGACATAACCTTACAGAGGGTAGTGTATAAATTGGTTCCTGGACTTCTAAAGAAAGAGCTAAAGAATTTAAACGATTTCAAGTTTAATAATCTAGCCAGGTTGTCACTCGAAAGTCGGGGATTTAAAAAAACAGATAAAGAACGGCGAACTCGGCTTTTGCTGCTAAATTCTTCCTCAGAACTGATCAGCAAGTTTATTTATGAAATAATGATGCCTTAGTCTTCTCCTTACTTGATTTTCATCCAATAACTATGGCAAAATAATTTTCCTGCTTAATTTTTTTTAATATTACGTAATATAGCCAAATTGGTTTATGCTTGCCCAATAAGTACGAAAACACTGGTAGCTTATTTCAGATGCGGATTGCAGTTCTTATTATACAATTAACTTGCAAATGGAGCCTTTTAACAGGCTTTTTTGGAGGAAATTCTATTCTTACGAAAAATTTAAAATTAGATTACATTATTACTTCAAATAGTATTGACTAATTCCATTTTAGGCGACTAATATTTTTTTGACAAAGGCTTTGTGCAAGTGGGATTAAATCCTTTTAGTGACTTATTTATTTACTATTAGTTTTGCATCTACCAGGGATTTATTCTTTATAAATTTGACACCTCATATTTTCGTCCTGCAATTTAGTCATACAGTTCATTACTTTGCTCTCATAAGATGTTGAAAAATAATTGTTGAGTTAACTATCATTCACTATTTGACTATGATAATGGCCTCTTCCTGTTCATATTCCTTATGCTATTTATCTTGAAATGATACTGGCAAACATAGGTTATTTGCCTATAGTTTGTTATATATTTAGGCTCACCCCAGAATGTGGCTTATTTTGAGGAAATGTAGGCCACTATAAAAAGCTTTTTTATTAGGCTTGTTCGACTTTAGCCTGCTTAATACAAGTGCTATTTGAGACATTTTCAATGTATTTGAGAATCATTTTCGATAGCTTCTACATTGGCCGATGTTTAAAGGCATATATATTTTTTCTACTTAATCCAGTTTTGGAATCTATATGCTTAGAATATCTTTAG